TGCAGTTCCTACGACCTCCTCTCTGGTAATGTGTATGCGGTCAAAAACATTCCCACTTGTTTCCCTTATTTCCTTTGCATCCACGATTCTTTCCTCAGTAAACATGGAGGAGAATTATTCATTAAAAATCTCCCCCATCTCCTACAGCTCCACACAGGTGGCCATGCTGATCTTTAGGGGGATCTAATCTCTCCCTAGCCACCCTTTTGACATAGATATAAAACCTCTTGGGATTATCTTTAACTCTATCTGCCAGATCAATCTCATACCCTCTTTTTGCTCTTCTCATTTCCCTTTGAGTGTGCTCCTACACTTTTTATAATCATCTAGAGATTCACTTGAGTTTAAACCCAATGTATGCCTTTATCTTTTTCCTGACTAGAGCCTCAATATCCCTCATCAACCAGGGATTCTTAAACCTGCTAGCTTTTCCCTTCACCTTAACAGAGTCATACTGTCCCTGGACTCTTGATATCACACTCTTAAAAGCCTTCCATTAGCCAGTTGTTCCTTTTCCTTCAAACAGACTCCCCAAGTGGACCTCTGCTAGATCCTAATGGCCCCAAAATTGACCCTGCTCCAGTTTAGCACCTTAACCTGTGAACCTGTCCTATCTTTTCCCACAACAGTGTTAAAACTGAGTGAGTTATAGTCACTGGACAAAGTGTTCTCCAACTGACACTTCAAATACTTGCCTGACCACGTTTCCTAAAACAAGGTCCAGTGTTGCACCCTCCCGAGTAGGGCCCTCCATATATTGATTTAGGAAACTTTCTTGGACACACTTCACAAATTCCACCACGTCCCGGCCTTTAGCACTCTGGGAAGCCCAGTCAATACAGGGGAAATTAAAATCTCCAACCAATCTCCAACCTATTATTCCTACAGGTATCTGCAATCTCTCTACACATCTGCTCCTCTAGTACCCACTGGCTATTTGGGGGGATCTCTAATACAGTCCCAAAAGAGTGACCATCCCCTTCTTGTTTCTAAGTTTAACCATATGGCCTTATTTGATGGCCCCTTAAGAATATCCTCTCTAAGCATGTTATGTCTCCCTTATCAAAAGGGCAACTCCCCCCTCCTCCCTTACTTGTACTTATGTCATGCCTGTAAGTTCTGTACCCTGGAACATTGAAACCGTGAAGCATTTTTAAAATACAGGTGATACCTAGCAACTTGAAACTTTTTTTTAAATGCACTGAAGAGGAGTTGATCACTCTGACTGTAACAGTAGCAAAGTTTCACTACTGTTATCCTCTATTCCTGGACAATTGTGGGAGCTTGACAGGGTAGATGCTGAAAGATGGCTTTTTGTCTTGAGGAAATCTAAAAATAGGGCACAGATTTTTTTTTAAAAAAACAGGGATTCCATTTAAGGTAGAGAGGAGGAGATTCTCCCCCACCACCCACCCCAGGAGTTGTTAATCTTCAGAATTCTTTAGTCCAGAACATAAGTTGGAGTCAAGCTGGTCCACTGAATACATTCACAACTAAGATAGATTTTTGATCAACAATGAAGTCATGGGATAACCCTGAGGGATAATCAAGGGGACTGGACAGGAAAGTTAAGGCCACAGTCTGATCAGTCATGAGCTCTCCAAACCACACAGCAGGCTTGAAGGGCTGAATAACTGACTCGTGATCCTATTTGGATCTTGGGGTTCAATTTAGAAACAGAAGGGCAAAAGGCTTAGTTCTGTGAAGGTTATTTATTTTATAAAACGGTCAAAGTCGTTTGGAGCAGTGACCTAGATATATCTGTTCCAAGAAAGCACGTGATCATAGTCGAGGGCCTGATGTTTTTAATATAATTCATTCATGGGATAAGGGCATCGCTGACTAGGTCAGTATTTATTGGCAATCTCTAATTGCTTGGAGGGCAGCTGAGAGCCCAGCGCATTCTGTGGGTCTACAGTCACATGTAGACCAGACTAGGCAGGGATGGCAATTTCCATCCTTCAACTATAAAATCATCATAGAATCATAGAATCCCTACAGTGGGGAAACGAGCCCTTCAGCCCAATATGTCCACACCAACCCTCCCAATGGCATCCCACCTGGACCCATCCCCCTACCATTTACCTGCAACCCTACACCTCCCATGGCTAACACACCTAATCTACACATCCCCGAACACTATGGGCAATCCAGCACAGCCAATCCACCTAACCTACAAATCTTTGGACTGTGGAATGAAACCGGAGCACCTGGTGGAAACCCACGCAGACCTGGGCAGAATACGCAAACTCCACACAGTCACGCAAGGGTGGAATTGAACCCAGGTCCCTGGCACTGAGAGGCAGCAGAGCTAACCAATGAACCACCATGCCACCCTAAACGACATCAGTAAACCAGATATGTTTTTTTCTGACAATTGAAAATGGATTGATAATCATCATTAGACAGAGTTAAGGAGAAATTTTTTCTGAGGGTGTCAGTCTGTGGAATTGTTTACCACAGAGGGCTGTCAAAGTGAGTCATTAAATATATTCAAAGCTGATACAGACCGATTTTTTTAAACAGTAAGGGAATCAAGGGTTATTTGAAGAAGGCAGAAAAGTGGAGTTGCTGTTTGTGGCATTATCAGATCAGCAATGATCGAAATGAATGGCAGAGTGAACCCAATGGGTTGAATGGCCTACTTCTGCTCCTCTGTCCTGTCGTCTAACAGTTGAGGCCTAGAAGATACAAGCAGGACGCACGTGCTACAATGGTACAAAAATACCACTTCAATAGCATCTGGAGTATTTTCCAGAGTTCTGGTCATCACATCACAGGTTGGAGGTGATTGCACCGCAGATGGTAAATTGGAAATTTAAAAATGTTGACAAGTTTGGAGATTTTTGTTTCGCTCTGAGCAAAGACTGAATAAGCTGGAGTTATTTTCTTTGTAATAGGGAAAGCAGAGAGGAGGTTTAAGTGAGGCATATAAAATCACAAGAAGACTAGATACAGTAAATGGCAAAGTTATGTGTTTGCAAACAGGTCAATGCCAGAGGACAGAGATTTAAAGCATTTAGCAGAATTACAGAGGAGTAAGTATCAATTTCCATTACCCAGAGGGCAACAGGAGTCTAGAATTTACTGCTTGATAGGAGAGGCAGAAACCCTTTTCACATTTAAAAAGCTTGCTTATGCACATGCAATGCAGTATCATGTAGGGATACAGCTGATCGGATACAATGAACCACACAGCCTCCTGTGCCATAATTCACTATGTTTCTCTGCAAAAAAAAGGCAAGCAGAGTTTGCATTAGTAATAAACGGTCACTTGTGAAGGTACAGGCAATGTTATTTCAGAGTACAATGACAACGAAGAGGGCATAGGTTAAATTTCATTGACCAAAAACAAAGAAGATCAAGTTAAAAAACAAAAAAAGCATGGGTAACATGGATTTAGGAATGTGAAATCACATTTGGCAAACAAAGCAAACCAGATTTAATGCTCATGAGTTTTAGGAAGCTAAGCAGCAGAGTAGATAAAAGAGAAATTTTGGATGTAGTACATTTGAACTTTTGAAACACATTTGATAAAGATAACAGACTGTTACATAAACTAAGAGGACTTGGGGTAGGGTATAATATATTGGCATGGATAAAGGACAGGAGTAGGTTGGTATGCCCTGTTAGGATGCTGCAAGGATCAGTCCTAAAATCGTGATTATTTCCAATCTACGCTAGTAACTTAGTTGAAAGGACTAAGCATAACGTATTAAAGTTAGCTGAAGATACAAAGCTAGTACAGAATTAAGGTACGAGACTGTCAAGTAAGGTAAGCAGATTAAGTGAGTGGACAAGAAGGTGGCAGATGGCATACAATGCATGAAACGCAATCACTTTGGCAGGAATATTTTTTAAAGTGATGAGAAATTATTGCTGGAAAGCATGGCTTACTAGGTCAACCTTTGAAGCCTCAAAAATATGTCTCAAAGAAAAGACCACCAACTTGTGTAATACCTTAAAAATATGTAACACTAGTGTGGGTGAAGATGGCTGCCATTATGAATGTGGAGGAAAAACCAGTAACTCATACTAAATTAATGTGGCACAGTTTATTGAATGAACGAGTTATGGAAAGTTACCTCCAAGCACATTCAAAGAATTTTAAGACTGTCAAATTCACCGTCTGCAGCATTCAACACAAAGCTCGTCTAATTCAGTCTGAATCACTGAAACTAAGGCACCATAATATTTACGCTCTCGGTCAAATTTTGCTTTCAGTATCATCCCTCCATAACAAGACACCTTCCTGTTCATCAACCGAATATCTTAATCCACAATTGTGAATGATCTGATGACACTTTTGCATGAACAGCATCCAATGATTTGAAAATGAAACCACACAAAACCGTAAGCAGGGCAATGTGCATATTTCCCTTGAGGGTTATTTCTGTGTCATGGATCCACATATTCAATTTCGCACAAACGATTTGTGAATGGCTTTTTGAGACATACATCCAAGGTTGAATTCTGGACATTAGTCCTCCTGAAATAACTATTGTGTACATTGTTTCTTCACAGGCACCTCTTGATTTGTCGGTTTTGAGATCTGCTCACCACCACACTAATAAACTGCATTCTTTTTGTGAACAATCAAGCACCGAATCTATATATTCTCCAACCATAACTTCACTCATTACACCCTCAACTATCTTATCATTGTCATTGACATGTACAAAAACTCAAGGACAGAATTTGACGTTTGGTGTGGTTTTGTGTTCGAAGTTACCACAGGCTTTGTTCCATCAGCAACGCAGGCTCGTATCACCATGAATCTAGTCTTTTCATGTCCTGTCTTTTTCACTAAACTGTTTTGTGAACCTTTCCACTCCACAGTCCAGCTGCTCAGGTTGAGGAGACTTGATGAGTACCCACATCTTTGCAATTGTCTGATGAACTGTTGGAAGCCAGGAATTTTGGCATCAAAGTCTCTGAGCAATTTTTATAGTCTGTTGCAAAACTGTTTCATTACACAACTACTCAAACTAACAGTTGATCTGAAATCTTTGTTGGACTCAAGTGGGCCAAAACAAAGAGTAAGTGCATATATCTGTACTGCATTTCTGGTGACAAAGTAACAATTGTGTCGGTTTTCAAGGACTACTTCGATACATGCTTCTCAAGATCAGGCTAATGGCTGATTCCTCATCTTAATGGTGCAATTAAATCTTTTTCACTTGTGGGACCTGTGCGTGATTGATTGGGACAGCATTTATTGCCTGATCCTAGCAGCCCTGGAGGCAGTGGTGAGCTATCTTCTTGAACCTCTGCAGTCCATGCACTGTCAGCAGATGCACAATGATGTTAAGGAGGTAATTCCAGGAATTTGTCCCAACAACAAAGAAACAGCAATATATTTCCAAATCAGGATGGTGAGTGAGTAGGAGGGGAACTTGGAGGTGGCGACGTTCCCACGTATCTGCTGTCCTTGCCCTTCTCGATCGAAGTCGTCATGGATTTGGAAGGTGCTACCTAAGGATCACTGGTGAATTTCTGCAGTGCACCTTATAGATGGCACATGGTGCTGTTACTTGGCATCGGTGGAGGAAATGGATGTTTGGCACCATATGTACAATCAAGCAGGCTATTTTCCCCTTGTACGGTGTCAAGCTTAAGCGCTGTTGGAGCTGCTGTCATCCAGGCAAGTTGGGAATGCTCCATTATACTCCTTCCTGACTTGTGTCTTATAGATGGACAGCCTTTAGGGAGTCAGGAGATGAGTTACTTGTGGCAATATTCTGAGCCTCTGGCCTGCTCTTACAGCCACTGTACTTATACGTATACTGTGTGTTTGTAGTCCAGTTGAGTGTCTGGTGAATGGTAAACTCTAAGATGTTGACAGTGGAGAATTCCATGATGGTAATACCGTGACACGGAATGTTAAGGGGTGATCGTTAGGTTGTCTCTTATTGGAGATAGTCATTGGTTGGTATTTGTGTGATCTGAATGATACTTGCCACCTGTCAGCCCATGCCTGCATGTTGTCCAGGTCTTGTGACATTTGGATATGGACTGATTCAGTATCTGGAGAGTCACAAATAGTGTTGATTATGGTGTAATCAGTGAACATCCCCACTTCCGACCTTAGGTCAGAATGAAGCAGCTCAAGATGATATTTTCCAGAACACTACAATGATGAACTCCTGCAGAAATGCCATGCAACTTAGAAGACTAAACTTCAAGAACAACATCTTCCATTGAGTCAGATATGACTCCCACCAGCAATGAGTTTTCCCGATTCACTGACTCCAGTTTTGTTGGAGTTCCTTGAAAGCACACTTAGTCAAATGTGACTTCGATGTCAATGGCACTCTTGCCTCATCTCTGGAATTCAGCTGTTTTGTCCAGATATAATAAGACTCAGAAACCCTGCAGTGTGGAAGCAGACCATTCAGCCCATTGAGTCCAAACAGCATCCTATCCAGACCTGCCCCCTACCCTATCCCTGTAACCCTGCATTTCCCATGGCTAATCCACCTAGCCTACATCCCTGAACACCACGGGCAATTTAGTATGGCCAATCCACCTAACCTGCACATCTTTGGACTGTGGGCGGAAACCAGAGCACACGGAGGAAATCCATGCAGACCTGCGGAGAACATGCAAACTCCACACAGATGGTTGCCCAAGGCTGCAATCGAGCCCGGGTCCCTAGCAGCAGTGCTAACCACTGAGCTAGTGTGCCACCCCATGAGGGTAGGAACTGAGCACCATTGAACAGTTTATTGTTAAACAAGCACTGCTTGACAGGACTGTTGACAAGACCTTCCACCATTTCACTGATTATCAAAACAGGTTTGATGGGGTGATAACTGGTCAGATTGGATTTATTCTGCTTTGTTTGTACAGACATACCTCGGCAATTTTCCACATTGCCTGTTGATGCCAGTGTTGTAGCTGTATTGGAACAGCTTGGCTAGGGATGTGACAGGTTCTGGACCTTAAGTCTTCAGTTGGTCGTGGTCATATTCCGGGTTGATTCCTCCATCTACTCTTGCAACAGTGTGCGCAACAGTTTTGTGACACAATCCAAATGGTCTCTGATCCCTGTGCAAGTTTACTGCATATTGCAATTAACTTCTAAGGAGTATACATGCAAAAGCATAGATTTTGGTGCAGAAAATGAACTTGTCTTGCATGTCAGTCAACTTACACACCACAATGTACTGTCCATAGTGAAGACCAGAGAGATAAAGGCATTCAAACACACAAAGTACCTAAATGTTAACAGGCTATTCCAGCAATTAAGATGACAAATGACACAAGTAATTATTTCATAGGGTTTTAGAACACAAATAAACATTTTTTGCTGCAACTTTGCAGAGCTTTGACGACACCACATAGAATGCTAGGTTTGGATTTCTATACACAAGGAAAGATTATTTACCTTAAAAGGGTATATAAAGGTTAACAAGATTAATTCCTGGGATGAGGGGATAGACACACGAGGAGAGATTGAACAGAATGGTCTTATACTGGCTGGAGTTTAGAAGAAAAAAGGTGACCTCATTGAAACAAGAATAACTGAGGAAGGTCTTGACAGAGTAGATGTGCAACGGTTTTCTCCTGGCTGGGCAGAGTCAAGGATTATGAGCATGTTCTCAGGAGAAGCATTTGGACATTTAAGACTGAAATGAGGAGAAATTTATCCAGCCTTGCCTGCAAATCTCTAAAATTCTGTACCTCTGAGAAACATGCTCTGTAATTTGCCTTGCTATTGCACAGGTCTCCGAGGTCTGTGCACTGACACGGCTTCGGCAAGCAGAAACATTGCATTGAGTCACCAAAACAACACATGTGAAGTTCTCAGCAGCTGCATAGCCACAGAGCTTAAAGGAAATGTTGCCTCTGAGGGTTATGGATGCTGAGTTTTTGAGTATATTCAAGTTCAAGTTTCACAGATTTCTGAACTTGAAGTCAATGAGTGTGGGGATCAGGCAGGAAAGTTAAGGTCCAAGATCAACCATGATCTTACTTAAAGGCAAAGCTAACTTAAGGGTCCAACGTTCCAATATTGATTTGTTGGGTAAAATGAAACAAAGCACTACATCTGCTGAAGATCTGAAACAAAAACAAAAATTGCTAGAGAAACTCAACAAGTCTGGCAGCATCTGTGAAGAGAAAGCAGAGTAAACATTTTGAGTCCAGTGACCATTTTCCAGAATATCAATCTGAAGAAAGGTCACTGGGCTCAAAACGTTAACTCTGCTTTCTTTCCACTAATGCTATCAATCCTGCTGAGTTTCTCTATCACTTTCTGTTTTTCATTTGTTAGGTCACTAGTATCAAATAAGTTCAATGCACAGACCTGACAGATGTTACTGAATGCAGTCTGAAAACTACAAAAGTACAAGGTGGAGTTTCAAAATACATTAAGAAACTCCTTTTGCTTTGAATGTTCAAAGAATAATCGATTTCTCACCTCTTTCAAGTGGTCATTGCTTCCCCAGGATGCAGAGCGTTTGTGGGATCCCTTCTTTTCAGAGCTCTCTTCTGCCCAGGCACTTGGAGTCTGTCAAAAAGACAAAGACAAACAATATACTGGTTATAAAACAACCTCATTATTCTGACTGTATTTCAAGCTTTTGAAAGAATGCTTGGTTAACAAAGATAATGCAAGTGTAACAAGTAATAGAAAAGCAATATACTGGAGAGGCTGGAAATCTGACCATTGCCTTATTGATTGGCATGACCTCTACCTACCAGAGACCAAATGCAAACTCCCCAAGAGTTCCTCCTACCTCCCCAACAAGGACCTTGAACCCACTCCATTCCTAACAGTCCACAACTACCTCCTCCCCAAAATTCATCAATGGGATTATCCTGTCCAGTCCACTAAACTTATTGCTTCCCATCTCAACAACTTCTCTTCCTACTTAATTACATGACTTTTCTGAGACCTACAAAACTTGTACAAGATTCCTGCTCCTAATGGTCTCAGATTCAGAGAAGACACAAGTCCCTCTACATCTCGATCCTGAAAGATATTCTGAGAGCTCTTCCTTCAATCGAGGCCCTGAGTGTGTCAAGAGGCCCATCTTTAGTTTTATTTTACCCACCATTACTCTCATTGGCTTAGGAACCATGAAATCTTTTGTCTATTAATCTTACCTATGTTCTAACTCATTTTTTCTACTTTTCTTCTTCTTTGCTCCTTTCACTTGCTTAAAACCTATTACGCTTCTACCTTTCATCAGCTTTGATGGCAGGCCACTGAGCTGAAATAATTACTTTATTTCCATGAACGTTGCCTGATCTTTTGAATATTTCAATCATAACCACTGTTATTCCACAAAGAACCACAACCCATTCTGACTTCTTAAAAATCTCAATCACAGACACTTGGATTTACTTATAATTGGGAAGCATGCCTTCAATGTAATCTTAACATTGCATTGCAATTAACAACATAAGCACGCAAGTCAGTCTGACAGGGCAGTGCCATTGTTTACGCTCCACAGGAGCTTTCACCTTTCTTCTTCTCACCCAATCAATGTATCCTTCTATCCCATCGTCCCTTGCATACTTATTGAGCTTCCTGTTAAATGCATCTACGATCATCTTAACAGGAATTATACACCAAGATGATTAAATAAAAAGTACTTATTCCATTTACAGAACCATTGCAGAATTAGAGCAGCAGCTACAAAGTTATGTGCATCAGAATTATCAAATCCCCTTCTAAGCAAATTTTTTAACAAGCTGTTTTAATTGCAGTCACTCACTTAAAACTAACAACCTGTTGGGAATACAGGTGCAAATGTTATTATTGCGTGTTGATGGTGGATGTGGAAAAGGATATTAAAAATAGGGATCACAAGGTGCAGAGCTGGATAAACACAGCAAGCCAAGCAGCATCATAGGAGCAGGAAGGCTGACATTTCAGGCCTAGACCCTTCCCCATTTAAGGCTCAAATGAACAGAATTTTCCATTTGGTGAGTCTTTGGAATGTTCTTCCTCAAAAGGGTGGTGACGAGGCAGTCTTTGAACATTTTTAAGGCAAAGGTTGATAGATTCTTGATAAGCAAGGTGAAAAGTGATTGAGGGTAGGTGGAGTATGTGCCAGAGTATCAGATCAGCCACAATCTTGGGAATGACTCAGCAGGTCCCACTCCTGTTCCTAAATCAGTTAAACCCCCATTAATACAATGCTTATGTATTTCTGACTTCTGAATTCAAGAACTGGGCTTGTAGTCACTTCTCTTATCAGTGATTAAAAAAAAAGCAGTGGAGGTGGCAGCAGCATATCCTTGAATCACTGAGCAGTTAATCTATTAAGCACACTTTTTTTTTCCTGCATCTTCACTCTGATGTTCAACTGTTTGAAAAATAACTTTTAAATTGAAACTTTAGATTAGGAATATGAAATAAAGCATTTTCACACTTTTCTTTTTTACTTCCAATATCAAAATTTCTCCACTACTGCTGGAATCACAACATCAAAATATTACATCATATATGTGTATAAACAGGCCATACAGCCTAAGCAACCACCATCAGCAATGACCCTGCAAGTTAGCAGGCAGCCCACATCAAAATTACCGATCATGTTCTACATTTCCTTAACTTTCTTCACACTGAATTCCCCACTATCCAAGTCCTTACTTGATGCCTCCTCACTCACTAAAGTGCTCCCAGTGAAAAAGGAGCTACGCACTGAACTGTGAAGAGTTCCAGAAAATAAATTTTACAACTTTCTATCACACAGTGTCATTTTTAGTGAACATACATGAGCCAAAGAATGTCTACAGCCAGATTATATTTTATCACAACATATTAACTATCTCCTTTTGAAATAATGACAGTAAACACAGAACAGTACAGTACAGTACAGGCCCTTCGGCCCTCAATGTTGTGCCAAACTTTTACCCTAATCCTAAGGGATATCTAACCTCCACCGCGACCTTATACTATCATCCATATGCCTCTCTAATAGCCGCTTAAATGCCCCTAATGAGGCCGACTCCACTACCCTCTCCGGCAATGCATTCCACGCCCCGACCACTCTCTTGGTAAAGAACCTACCTCTGACGTCTCCCCTATATCTACCTCCACTCACTTTAAAATTATGCCCCCTCGTAATAGCTACCTCCACCCTAGGAAAAAGTCTCTGGCTGTCTACTCTATCTATACCTCTGATCATTTTGTACACTTCTATCAAGTCACCTCTCATCCTTCGTCGTTCTAAAGAGAAAAGCCCTAGCGCTCTCAACCTTTCCTCGTAAGACCTCCCTCCATTCCAGGCAACATCCTGGTAAATCTCCTCTGCACCTTTTCCAACGCTTCCACATCTTTCCTGTAACAAGGCGACCAGAACTGGACACAATACTCCAGATGTGGCCGAACCAGGCTTTTGTATAGCTGGAGCATAACTTCACGGCTCTTGAACTCAATCCCTCTATTAATGAAAGCTAACACACAGTATTGCCTTCTTAACAACTCTATCCACCTCGGTGTCAGCATTCAGGGAACTATGGACATGAACCCCGAGATCCCTCAGCTCCTCCACAGTGCCAAGAATCTTTCCGTTAACCCTGTATTCTACTTTCAAGTTTGTCCATCCAAAATGAATCACCTCACACTTTTCAGGGTTAAACTCCATCTGCCACTTCACAGATTCGGTTAGGGTGCATGTTAAGTAACTAAATTCAAGTATTTCAATACTGCTATAACAAAAAACACAAGTGCTGGAAATTATGAGGTCAGGTGAGGGAAACAAAGTTAATGTTTCAAATCAAAGGCCTTTTATCAGGACTAGGAATTTGTGATATAGTAGGTTTCAAGTACGTACAAAGGCAGGCATAGGAATAGGGAGGGAAGATGTGTGCAACAGTGGAAGGCAAAAGAAGAAAGTGAGCATTTAAAGAATTAAACGACAAAATTGATCAAATAAAAAGTAATTGCCGATGTAACTTAGCAGGTCTGGCAGCTTGTGTGGAGACAGAAACAGAGTAAACAGAGTCCAATATGACTCCTCCTTATTCCAAAGAAGAGTCATACTGTATTTGAAACATTTATGGTTTTTCTCTCTCCACCAATACTGCCAGGCCTGCTGAGTTTCTTTTGTACTATTTGATTTCAAATTTTCAGCATCCACAGTATTTTGCTTTTATATGACAAAGAGAGGCTGCTGTCAGGCAATAGAGCGTGCCAACTGGGAAAGTAAGGAAACAAAAGGTGAGCCTCAGTCAGGAAGAAATGATAATAGCATAATCATTAACAACATCTGCCACTTCTCAGCCCAGCTCTGCATTCTATCAATGTCCCTTTGTAACCTAGAACAGCCCTCCGCACTGTCCACAACGCGACCCACCTTCGTATCATCCGTGAACTTACTAATCCACCCTTCCATTCCTGTTGGAGGGAAAGAAATGGCAGCAGTGGTTACAACCTGCAACTGTTGAATTTTAAAGCTTTCTGGACTCAACGTTCTGTGCCAAATAAAAGATGCTGACATGAGGTGCTGTTCTTTCAGCTTCTTAGAACAGTGAAGGCGACCTTGGGCAGACAGGTCAAAGGAGAGGTATGGTGCTCAATTAAAATGACAGGCAACACAAGGTTTAGGATCATGCTGGCCTGGCCAGTCACAGATTGTTGTGCAAGATCCCAAAGTAGAGACAACCCCATTTAGCAATGAACAAAGTATACCAAACTGAAAATTCAAGTAAATTACTGCTTCATCTGTAAGGCATAAATGGGGCCTTAGATACTGAGAGAGAAGGTGGTAAAAGGGAAAGTGTTAACATCTTCTACTCGGAGCAGGAAGATGCCAGGGAAAAAGGGAGGCAGTGTGAACAAACTGAACAATGCACCAGAAATAAATTGTCCCTTCAGAATGTTGGAAGTGGATCACTGCGGCACTGACCACCCTTCATTGGTTATGAAGGGCTGGGCAAGTTGTCTGCCATGACCAACTCGAGACTCCCCAAGCAGGTGCTCTTCTCCCAGCTTCAAAATGGCAGGTGAGCCCGAGGTGGTCAGAGGAAGTGCTTCAGTGATATCCTCAAGGCCTCACTGGTGAAGTGCGACATTCCCACAGACACCAGAGAATCACTGGTCCAAGACCATCCTAAGTGGAGGAGGAGCATCCAGGAAGGTGTCATGCCATCAGAAAAACATGGAAGGCAGGCTAAAACAGCAAAAAGGAGTGAGCTGCCACACCAGAGCCCCACCCATCCCTTCTTATGACTACCACCCATCCCAAGCGTAACAGAGCCCGCAGTGGCCGTATCTATCTGTACAGCCACCTACAGACTCACCCTGAGTGCGGAAGAGAGTCATTCTCATCTGCAAGGGACTGCCAATGATGATGGAAGGTGGACAGAAAGGAAAGATGAGTTTGCTAGTGGCATCCTTTGGGGTCAACAAGAAAAAGGAAGTGATGAACTATTAACTGCAAAAGCTGATGGAGTGGAGAGTGAAAACAAGTGGCCCCCTATCATGGTTCTAGGGATGACAGAAGATGTGCTGGAAGTGGGGCAGACAGCTGTCAACTTGTGTTTCTAAGCCTT